TTTTAAAACATGAATTAAGGTGTTTTTTTTGTTATTTTTCCTTTTAATGTTTTAGAGATAAGGGAGATAAACATTAATTTCATATATATATATATATCTAATTGCTATTTTTAATTATAAAATTTATTGTTCTATCTATCATCAATTGATTTAAATTAGATGCTTTTCTTGTTTAAATACTCAAAATTTTTACATTATGCTTAATAATTAAAAATAATAAATAGAAATATTCATAAAAATATATATAATTCAAAGCTCAAAAGAGTATCTAGAACTAACATCTTGTCGACAACATAATCTCCTAACAAGAAAATAATTTTTTACTAATCTTTAATATGTTTGGTACATAAATATTTTACAATTCAAAAGATAAAATACCAGATGGAGTGACCTTCACTTTTTATCGAGGACCATTCAACATCAAAACGTTTTACTACTCCATATTACAAAATACGTTTTTGATCTTTAATTCTACGAAAAAAATCAACCTCAATTATGCTTTGCACCTTCTCTTGGGCTATAAGAAATTGACTAGAAGATAATAGGATGTTTCCGTGCTATATCTCATTCAATTCTTCTCCTTAGCTTTTCTTTAGGTAGCTTTCAAGGAAAATTAACAACATATATATATATATATATATATGATTACTGTGATATTTCTTTTTGTTGAAATAACTGATACTTCTCCTATCCTTGTAAAATTTCCAACAATGGAGATGATATCTTAATTTTCATTTTTTTAGTTATTTTATCATTAATATATCTAATCATTTAATTATGAGTTTACCTGTAATATTACAAATATAACATTATAAATACTAAATAAATAAATAAAATTATTACCCCATTCAACGGTTGATTTTGATTTATTACGACCAGAAAAACACAAAAACCTGTTGATTGATTTATTAGCAAAACCGAAGGGGCGTTACTTGCTACGTGTCATTAGAGGAAGCTCGAATGTCCAAGCGGGTGCAAATGAGCGAGTTTCCTTAGCAGCCTTCTTGTGTTCGACTCTTAGATCTCCTTCTCTCGTAATATTAAGGTTAAATACCCTTTTTGGTCCCTCTACTATAAGAAAAAGTTTCTTTTTGGTCCCTGTACAGAAAAAATCTCTTTTTTAGTCTTTACTTTTCACAAATCCGACCCCTTTTTGATCCTTCCATTAATTTTTGCTCACATGACACATTAACTTAATTGAAACAGTTGATGTGGATATGCCAACATGTAAAAAATGCTTATGTGGACTCCACGTAGACTCCACGTCACCCTCCACATGGACTCCACGTCACCCTTTTTTCGTGGAGTCCACGTGGAGGGTGATGTGGAGTCTACGTGGAGTCCACGTGCATTTTTTATATGTTGGCATATCCACATTAACTTTTTTAGTCTTTATTGTTCATAAATCCAGCTCCTTTTTGGTCCTTCCGTTAATTTTTGCTCACATGACACGTTAACTTAATTGAAACAGCTGATGTGAATATGCCAATATGTAAAAAATGCTTACATGGACTCCACGTCACCCTCCACATGGACTCCAGGTCACCCTTTTTTTCATGGAGTCCACGTGGAGGGTGATGTGGAGTCTACGTGGAGGATGACGTGGAGTCCACATAAGTATATTTTACCAGTTGGCATATCCACGTCAACTGTTCCAATTAAGTTAACGTGTCACGTAAGCAAAAATTAACGGAAAGACCAAAAAGGGGTCAGATTTGTGAACAGTAAGTACTAAAAAAGGGATTTTTTCGGTACAGGGACCAAAAAAGGACTTTTTCTTATAGTAGAGGGACCAAAAAAGGTATTTAACCTAATATTAATAGATAAGTATTTTTGTCAAAAAAATATTTAAGATTAAATTAAAGATTTTTTTTGAATAAAGATGTGATAAATATATATTTTATAATTAATATTTATTAAAAGTATAAATATTAATTTTGATTTAATTAATTAATTAATTAAAATTATTCACGTATCAATAATATTAAAATATATATCAATATTTATAATTTTTAAAATAAATTAATTACAAAAAAATATATTTATTACACTATTAATTTATATATTTAAAACATAAATTAAACAAACTCAATTATAAAATAATTAATGAATTAACCTTATTTTAATATTTTATTAAATTATTTACTAACTACTAATTATGTGTTCAGATTATCGGGGATTGTTACGGTAAAGAACACTGTGTGGTAACCTGGATAATTATCTCTTTTTTTTCTTTTTTTGATTTATAATCGGACTTTGTGCTCTCTTTTAAGGTCCACAATCATAGGTAAAAAAGGTTCAACTTTCAAGTGAAATGGACTTTCCAAACCCATGGCCTAATCAGGCCCTCTGCTCCAAAAAAAAATTCAAGCCTAAAAAATACTGGGCCTTGTAGCCCACCGGAGGCATCCAATGGTCAAAAAGCAAAAACTCAAGTCCTCACTTCTCGCATGGGGCGGCCTCATCCTCGCAATTCTCTCCGGTGAGAACTCAACTGTTAATCTCTCTGCGCCGTGTCCTGTAAGTCTACCTTAATCGGTATTTTGCTTCCATCTATGAACAGATGCGGTCGGAAGATTAGGGTTATGCTTCCATTTTTCTTTGATCGGAAAAACTCGTGTTTGCAGTCGAACGAGGAGATCTCAGTCAATCGATCGGGTAAATTAGCAGATATGGGAGGAGCTGAGGATTTTTTAGGACGAAGGTCTGGAGCATGTCGGGTGGTCCATACTGCCGGCCCAAGCACTGGCGTCGCAACACCGCCATTGCAATGTTCGGTGTCTTCCTAATTTGCTTCCCAATCGCTATGAAATCTGCCGAGCTTGAGGTCTAAAATTTTCACTTTTTAATTCCTTATTGTTGATTGTTAGCAGTATGTTTATGCCTTAATGATTTTGATAACTTGAGTTGGCTTGCCTTATATACATGGAGCCTCTCTGCGAGCAATACTTGTTGACAAAATAGCAGTTTGGATATAACTTATCATTCTGGTCATCTCAGATCAGGTGTTGGAACATATGGGTGTTACAGGCTTGAGATCCTAATTGCGGTTATAAGTATATGATGTTTCTTAAAAAATGAGGAATTTAGGTTATATTTGGGACAGCGGGTGGGGAGTCCTTTTGTATGAAAAACGCTCCAGTTGCACTAAACATAATATAATTTGTAAAAAATACTATAATATTTTATAAGTTAATTTTTTATTCATTTTATTACAAATCT